TAATGTATGAGTAAGATTAATTGAATTAATTAATATTAATTAATAATTAATATTAGTAATAATTTATTTTAATTAATAATTATTTATAATTAATAGTAGTAAATGAAGATTGATATTAATGAGGGTTATAATTGGAAAAAGTTACAATAAGCTCCCAAAATGCTACTCCAACTAGCATTTCAATAAGCTAGCTAGCGTTTATGTCCATCCAAACATGTTCTCAAAATGAGCTAAGGTAACTTATTTTTGCCAAACAATGCTTACGATAAATACTAATGTACATTTTTTTTTATCTTTCACCTTTAATAAAATTTGAATTCTTAATCTGTTGAAAGACTAGGTTTTACGAATAACCCGAATAACATTTAGTCAATATAACTTTTTTTCATTCGTAGTTAGAATATTGTTTGTTCGTTTTACTAAACTAGTTGGGTACCCACATAATATAGCAGGATGTCAAACTTTTTTGTAAATCGAAGGTATGAAGTTTATGATCCTTATAAACTTCAAATTTTAGAATGGTTGATTGACCAGAGACTTGGAAAGAGAATTACGAGATTAACAGATTTCCAAACACACATCAATTTTTTTCTTAGATTTTTGAATAATGATTTTCACATAATGCAACTCATGATTAACAAAAAAAACCAAAATTCATGTTTAAACAAAATAGTAATATAATCATTTGTAACAATATAAATCGATGCATACGGAATACGATAAGATATCACTTGAAGCATTCATATGTAGACATGTCCTGCAATGAAATGTCTTAAGATTGTAATAGATACATAGCAAACGTAGTTGTAAAAATGTGTAGTAATAAGTAGTCATTTTTATACCTTATTAATAACGTAAAACTTCTTGATACACCATGTTTGATGTGTTAACTTCGACACGATTGAATTTTTTGGCAAACTTTACTAATACCTTTGTATTTTCGCGTGATGTCCCTCTTGATAACGCCACATAAAGTTGGTCGTGCAAGAATATTGATTTTGGTAGATACTCACCTACATTAGGAATTGTCTGTCATTGAGCTGGATTGATTGTCATAAAAAAACTAAGTCGGACCGGAAACTATTTTTTCTTTGATTTGAAGGGGAACATATTATCTTTAGATGGATATAGAGGAATTCTCAGTAAAAATACCCTCTTTCCAGCATGTTGACCAACAACTATTTTTGCATGGATTATAGTCTGCTGAAAACTTCTACATATCAATCGGGTGCCATTAGGGATCAATATTCCTGAATAGTATTATTGAGCATCCAATTTTGAGCTGGAGGTAACGAGAGGGCAAACTACTAATAATTAGCAAGTTTAAGAACTCCAATAGATGAAAGGTATTCATGCCATCTTCTGTTTCATCAAAATTATAGTAAACATTTTCATCTCCGTAGAATCTATCAATCAATTGATCATTAATCCCATCGATATTCTCATTTTTTGTTGATAATTAATATCACCCTCGAAACTATATAATCTGAATTAGCTCCATTTTTCGCAGAGGGTGGAAATATTGTGTCAATCAAATCATTCTTCGATTTATCTTTATCAGTATAGTCAATGGTCATGTCATCAGGTATGCGTATAAAGCTTTGTTCTATCACTTCTTTATCTCCGTCATCCACTCGTAATAAAAAAACTGAAAAACCATGGATCAGTTCGTGTTCTCATATTGAGAGTTGAATGTATCTTTTTAATTGAAGACCAAAGAGGTGACATCTGTATGCTTGAATCTATAATATGTGTTTGGGCTCTAAGTCTCACGACCGACCTGTCTAAAATCACCTCCTATGACAATTATCACTCCAATGAAGGACAGTGTCAACCATGTGATGCCTTTGCATTATTCGATCAAACACCTCCACCGCCTGCCTTTTAGACATCGACGCTTCGCCGCAAATGGTTATTTTTGCATCTTGTAACAATTGAGCATTCTCGCTTTGTTTTTTATGTTGCACATTGAGTTGTTATCAAGATTGAGGGGGAATTTTAAATCGGAAGTGAGTTGTTCTTCCCCATGCATATTATTAGTTGCAACACCTCAAGAAGCGGTGACGAGTGTAATGAGACCACGGAACGAATGTTGGCGAGTAATGCTTTGTATAAAAATGTTTTTCCAATTCCACCTAGACCATCTATGAAGAACACGCCTGGACAATCATCGTCTACTTGCTTCATGAACTCATCGTATGCGTATTTTTACTCGAAATTAAGGGAGTATTGGGAACAAACATGGAATTCTGAATTAGTTTGATTTCTAACCTAGGCTCGGTTCGATTCACCCATCATACTTACTCTGGCTAAGAGCTATCTCTCAACCTCTCCTTTATTGACAACGTTGAGGATCGATTCCTTATTCCCCAAAAGGAGTTGTTTCCGACTTTAAGACAAATCGATCTTAAGAAGATGTCTTCCACAATTATGAAGTACTCCTCTTGTACCTCACGAAAACTTCCAAATTGTAAGTTGGCATCTGCATTATCATTGGAAGATCGAAATCATCAAGATTTTTACCCATAGATTGTACAAAATGTTGTGATGTTTGTTAGGCCATATTTCGAACTCGGTCAACACTTTCACACTGTCATCTATAATCTTCTGAAAGTAAATTGTAATGCACATCCCACAACTTGTGAACATCTCCTGGCTCACAATAAATTAAATTTATCGCACAAATAGCCTTCTAAGAGCATTGGAAAACTGAAACAAGGAAGCCTCCGCAAGACATTGTGATAAGTTATCGTCTGTCTCTATTAAGCCTCTGTCAGG